TGTCTCAGTCCATCACAGAGACACCTGGACATGTCTCAGTCCATCACAGGGACACCTGGACATGTCTGTCCATCATAAAGACACCTGGACATGTCTCAGTCCACTAAAGAGACAGATGGACATGTCTCAGTCCATCACAGAGACACATGGACATGTCTCAGTCCATCACAGAGACACCTGGACATGTCTCAGTCCATCACAGAGACACATGGACATGTCTCAGTCCATCACAGAGACACATGGACATGTCTCAGTCCATCACAGAGACACACCTAGAGACAGTTATCAGTTAACCTAACAGTCATGTTTTTGGTCTGTGGGAGGAAGCTGGAGTACCTGGAGAAAACCCACACCTGCACAGAGAGAACATGCAAACTCTACCCAGAAAGATCCCCTGGCCAGGATTTGAACTGGCAACCTTCTTGCTGAGAGGTATCAGCTCTATCCACTGAGCCACTGAGCCGCCTCGTAGATATTTGTATTAATTACTGTTATAATTCCCTTAATGAATAATACCTGTCATAAAAAAGACAAAAACAAATGAAACCATGTTGATGGTCAACATCAAACCTGTTTGTCACCTGGTGGAGGCGGAGCTTATAAGGCTGAGTTCACCTGAAACTCCTCAGACTGAAGAAGTCTCCTGGAGGAGAAACAAAACATTTCATTAAAGAAGAACCTGTCCAGAGGACCTACTTCTGTTTATTTTCTTACCTGGATCACTGACATGAATCAGAACAGAACCGGTCCTGCTTTACTTTGGAGGTAATTCAGTGGAAAATGTCTGATTGGACTGACGGTACTGGACTGTAATGTCTCTGGACCACCATGGACAACAGAAGACCTTTATTTTATAATCTCTAACTCTACATCTGCTGACGTTTCTATGAAACACTGCAGTTGATGAAAGACTGAAATCAAATCCAGTCTGTCATCAAGCGTTTAGCTAAATGCTACATGCTAAAAACAAAGAAAGCCCTGCGGCGGTTTTTCTTTTAGCTCATGCACGAAGGAGCTGACGGTACAGATGGAGCTGACTTAACCAAACGGTTTCTTTTTAAGATTCCTGCATATTGCTGTTAGAAACAGGAAGTAGAACCATGTGACCTGTTTACATCATCACATCTGCTGGAGCTTTTATCACATGTGCTGGAGTGGGTGGAGCCTACACAAAGGGAGGGGCTTATAAAAAGCTGTAGTTGGGCCGTGTTCTGTTGATATAGCAGTTTGTGTCTCAGTCCAAATTTTTCAGTCTGCTTCAAACAATCTGGTTCTGGTTCTGGTTCTGGTTCTGGTTCTGTGATCTAATCTTTCCTGTTTTTATCTCAACCAGAGTTTGTGAATTTGCTCTAAACGTTCTGTGGTTTATTGTTCAGTTTATTCATTTATATCTAAAAATGTTGAGTTGAACTCATCCATCCATGCTTTTTTATTTATTTAAGGAAACTATTGTTTTAACAGAAAGCATTTAAAGCATAACCACCATTTATACCTTTCCAAATGTCTGCCCCATCCCTCATCCCATCAGCCTCACAGTGGTTCTGTTCACCTGCGTAGAGCAACACAGCTGAACCAGAGGCTTCCTGCAAGCATCCCTGTGTGACAGTGGTGCTAAAATCTGTCTGTCACATGGGAGAGCGGTCAGGGAATCTTTATTTTATTATTTTATTTAATCTACCCCCCAATGTTTATGGTATTTGGGGATGGGTAAAACCCATGTGAGCGGGGGTCTCATAAGTGGGTCCATTACTGTCCCCAAAAGAGACACTGAGCTTTATTCAAACCTTCAGATGAAGGACACCAGGTTAGAAACACTCAGTGTTCTGAGCTTCTCATGACCCATAAAAGGTTCTCCAAGAATTCTTTCCCTTTGATTGGTCAGAGCCAGGCAGTGGCCTAAGCAGTGTAAAGAGGTCTGTAGTTCAATGCCACAGGCATCACACAGACCATTGTCTTGGAGTCCCATCACCATTTTGTGGTGGTTGAGCAGATTGTGCCCAGTTAGGACTCCAACCAGTGTACTTAGAGTTTTCCTTGTCAGGGAGATGAGAGCTTTCCAAACCTTAGATTTGAGTCATTAATCAGTTCCTGTGCCTGTCTACAGTCCATCAGCTCCCTCCAGAGGATTGATTATTGACATCTAATCCAGGCCTGTAGGACAGTCCTACAGACTGTTGTTGAAGTACCTACAACAGGCTCTGGTCCTTTGAAGTGAGCCTGAGGTAGTCAGCTCTCTGGTTACCATAAATGCCAGTATGTCCTGGTACCCATTTAACAGTAACACTATTATCTCTCCCCAGTTGGTTGACTGCTTCGGCACACTCCCAAGTCAGTAGTGACGTGAACTGCGGCCCTCTGAGAGCTTTAATAGCAGCTTGGCTATCTGTCAGGATGAATATTTCCTTCTGCATACACTGAAGTTCTTTGAGAGATGCCGCACACTGATGGATTGCATATATCTCAGCTTGAGATACCTTTACAAAACCGCCTAGTGGGTAACTATACTCTCTCTTGCTATGGTTGTGCAGAATCAGCACCCCTGCACCTGCTGACCCCTTTATAAGGGATCCGTCTGTAAAGCAGTAGAAATAATTTGGAGACAGGTCCACCATAGAGAAATTACTCCAGGCTGACCTATCTTCAATCTCTGTCTTAAAACTTGGTTCAAAATCTCCCTTCCAAACAGTTTGCCTGAACCTTGTCCTGTGCCCAGGTTTTAGAAGCTGCAGTTTATGTTCACCCTGTCCTGGTCAGATACTTCAGGTGTCCTCTAGCACTTTCCCAGAGTTGTGAGTTGAAGCTCGGACGGACAGACAGACTGCTCTGCTAGATGTTTCCACTTCATACTCACCGTTTGTTTGGCTTCTCTCCAGCCACCAGGTCCAATGGTGGACAACTTTGCTCCTCTTTTCACCCAAATAATGCAGACATAGGGTCAAGGTCAGAAGATATGATCATCAAACTTTGGCCCAAGGTAGCCTGGTACCACGTACCTTTATGGACCAGCCAGTGCTCAAACATAGTGTTGTCTGAACACTGAAGTTCAGCAGCAGAACATGACTCGTGTTCAGATGAGGGAGTCAGTTTGTGGAACCCCCCAGGAGAACAAACCTCACATTCAGTAACCAGAATGACAGTTTTCTAACAGCTAGTAAAATGTTTCTGCAGTGTAAATATTCTTTTTTTAACCTGAAGAAACCGTCAGCAGAACCAGATCCAGGATCTGCCAGGATTGGGGGAACAAGAGGGAGGCAAACCAAAGGAGTGCTGGGTCAGGACTCTGTGACCACAGCTTTAGGACCTCATAAGGAAGGTTCATTATTCATGAGAAACTGTAAATCTGGCATTTATCAGCTGTTGGTTTGGAGATAAAATGTTTCTGATGATCTACAGACCTGAGAAAATCTCTGGGTTGAAGGTGCCTGATCAGGTTCTTACAGAGTTCTAACGAAAACCACCTCTGAACCAGAACCAGTTTAAACGGGTTAGAAGAAGCAGCAGTTAGTATTTGAGTGATCCTGGTCTCTGGACTGTAGTTTTCTTAAGAGTTCAGGTGTGGTGGAGATGGTTTGGGACCAATCAGAACCAAAGGGTAGTCCTCATTTAAGGTTTGTAAAACTGGTCCACATGTAGGACTGGACAGTTGGAAGTGGACACCAATCAAAGCCAAACTTGGTCACCACACTACATTACCCAGAATGCCTTTGGACCCACAGCCTGCTGTCTGTTTCAGTCTGTTCACCTGTGTGAACTTTATTTAAACAAAACATATTTTTAGAAATGATTGTGGAATATTATTGTGAGAATATGTAGGAACAACCAAGCATGGTTCAAGTAAAAGATCTGAAACCACAGGAGTCTGAGAGGACTGAAGAACCTGAGAGGACGTCTGACGTCTCTGCATGAGCTTCTGTACATTAGCATGTTAGCATGTTGACATGTGTCTTTTCTATATAAGGATTAAGCATTCAGCTCATTAATGTTGAAATGTGATGATGATGATGATGATGATGGTGATGATGATGAAGCACGTGTAGAACACGTGTTTTTCTCCTTGTCTGATGTAAATAGATAAACTTTAAGCCTCGGCCACAAAAGGTCCAAAAACTGAAGGCCACAGAGTCGGTGTACAACACCGATGGAAGCATGTGAGGCTGAAGTCAGGAGGTCACATGATGTCAAACAGCTGTTTTCTGATAATAAACACTATAAACCTGAAACATCATCTACACCTGCCAACTGAAAACAGGGAGGCTTTCAACTTCTGACTTCAGGTGCTTCAGTTTCAACTTTAAAAATCATCCTGAGAACACAACTGTTCAAGAAGAAAAACTGCCATTTAATGTTTCTTTTTTTCTTGTTGTTGTTTTGAGAATTTGTAAAGTTTCAAGGTCCAAATAATTTCTGATCCGTTTCAGAAACCTTGCTGTAACGTCCAGATGTGACTTGCTGAACTGATGCTGTAACATTTCATGAGTAGTTTACCTGTAGTGAAACTGGACTAAAGTGTTTGTATTTGATCTCTGATTTCATTCATTTCTGCTGGTTTTGAATATAAATATAATAAACTGCTTTTAGACTTTTTCTGTGGTCAGACTTTTATCTTTCTATATTTTTTATTCTGAAAAAAACATTTTAATATTTGAGCTGTTATTTCTGAGACAGATTGGATTTATTGTAGTTATTTGATTCACACAGGGTCAAAGTTATACATGCAGTCTAACACACCTCTAATGTGTGTGTGTTTGTACATGTGTGTTGTGTGTTAATGTGTAAACAGTCTGATATGACTGTAAACAGTCTGATATGACTGTAAACAGACTGATATGACTGTAAACAGTCTGATATGACTGTAAACAGACTGATATGACTGTAAACAGTCTGATATGACT